GATATGCTGACTCTGTAAACCGCTTAGAGAGGGCTGAAAGCCCTATGAAGCGGTATATAAGTCTAACTGCTATTGCTATGTAATATTGTATCTCACTCTAGGTCAGCATTATCCAGAAACTATTGCTGTGGAGAGCTGAGGTTTGAAGCAATGGCTTGCCAAATGCCACAATAACTGGTTTATGGCCAAAGCCAAATTCCAATCAAGACTTCTTGAATAATTATGCTCCATCAACTCTAATGATAAATCATTTGGTAGGCCTGAACGGAGCAAGCTTTTTGTGTGAAGAGTCATGCATAGTTGTCCATTCATAAATACAATGATGCAGGAATAACAAGATCTTTGTCATGTTATTACAGTGCAAGCTTCACCCTTTTGCCCTTGTGTTGTGACATTGCAAAATAGATTTAATCACTTACCCCATTCCTGTAATGCTAGTAGAAGTCACATTCTGTGGTCACCAGTCACTGGTTGTGTTCTATTTTCCTTAGTATTTGTTTACTATTCAAAAATCATCAGGGCAAAGCTGGGTTAGAAGGGAAAAACAGTAAGGCAAAGAGTACAAGTTAGAAATTAATTTGCAAGAACCATAAACATTTATTTATTTTCGATGTCCCCAAATCATCCAGAAAAGTGCATACAATCCTTAGTACAGAGGTCAGCGTGTTTCCATGTACAATGTATGTTCAAGTATTACATATAATTGAAGCTGCAATATATAGTCAAAATACACATCAAATGTTGCCTTTGTCATCAAATAGGGCATTTGAAAAAATGAGAATGTCCAAATTAAAAGGCAGAAAGTTCGGTTGGAAAATATTTCTGAAATATTAACAGTCTTGTTAAGGCAACGGATTAGAAATTGGGAAACTGACTTCTGTTCCTGCTTAAGTATGAAATGAGCTGAGCAACCTTAAGCCAGTCATTTTCTCTCAGCCCTAGGAAGCATACAATGTCAAACCCTTTCTGGGGAAAAAAAAATAACCAAGTGAACTGCAAGGATTAGTTCAGGCAGTTGCCAGTAGTCATCCCTGACTCAAAGATGCTTAGTAGATACAAACTTTTACAAGTATTTTATTGTGCCAAACCAAATAAAGAGAGCTGAGCAGAGCTAATAAAATGATACGGAAATGGGTGCAAGAAATTACAGGAGAACAGATAAAATACAAACCCGAAATCTTTCTATGGGAAAGGGAAATATACAAAGAAAATTAAGTACATATTAACACATCTGCTAACTACAGCTAGAATAGCATTTGCCCAAT